TTTGCAACTAGAGCCTTCACGGTGAGTTCAAGATTAGACTCTCGGTCTCTGCCATGTTTCTTGTACATGTGTTAGTCCTCTTCGAATCCATGCTTTCAGGTCGTTCTTTTCCCTAGCTCCCTGTTGTGGCCTGTGTGCTCGAGGTTTCCCAAGGCAAGGCTAAGCTCGTCCCTCTTTCTAGAAGGCTTGAATGAGCCCTTCTGTTTGTCTTTAGCATATTTCAGTATCTTTGATACTGCCTGTTCTGTCTCTGGGTTATTAAACTTAAGCCCACTGGATGTTTCTATACTAGTACTCCTCCCAAGGATCCAGTTCCTTGAGCGTACCTCCAACCCACTCAAGTTGAATGACCCGGATGCGGTGACCTCTTCCTCCATCTTCCTAGACTACTCTTCCTTGCCATAGTAGCCACCAGGACCAAGATGATGGTGATGTTGGTTCTTCTTCGTAAGCTTGGTGTTACGGGCACTAAGGGCCAATGCTGCCGGTGAAGTCTTTTGAGCCACAAGGTCCGCCCATTGAGTAGGAGTTATGTGGCCAAACTCGTTGAAGAGAGTCAACCCCTTTTGGATATAGTTCTTGTTGAGGTCTGACTTCCAATGTCAGAATGACTCTCTCATTATTTTCATAGCTTGACGTTTTACCAGTTGATGGCTTCCCTTTGGAAACCAGAAATTGACCATCATAAACTTCTCCCATAGCTCTCTCTTTGTCTCCTCTGGTACTTTTTTCCAGCTGATGACAGCTAGGTTTAACTGATCTCTTACTAGGGCCCCGATCGCATTACGGAATCGCCCTCTGAGTTGCTTCGGCTGACGGATCTCCCCTACTAGCCTGACCTCTATAATCACATAGCATGCGCTATCTGGATATTGGTTGTTTTTTTGTCCCCCCGTTTCCTCTTCGGCTTGGTACCCGAGTTCATGGCCATGGCTTGGGGTTTTGGAGCAGAGGTGGCAATGTCCAACTCTGTGGCTGTTGCCTCTGACACTGGTAGAAAACAGAGCTTTACTCCCGGTGGGGAACCCCCTCTAGTCCCGGTTCCCCACCCGGGAGTAAGCATCCGGGACTAAAGGGGGGTCCTTTAGTCCCGGGTCAGGAACCGGGACTAAAGGGGGACCTTTAGTCCCGGTGGGTAACACCAACCGGGACTAAAGGTCCTCCCAGCTTTAAAAAAAATAATGCCTCCCACCGCTGCGTCCCGTGAGATTCGAACCCAAGACTCCATGCATTGCCTCGCGCGTAGCTTACCACCCCACCTACACAACACATCTAACAATGGATGTGATACTTCCCTTTTGAACTAACCCATCGGGGGATCTTTAGTCCCGGTTGGTGTTACCAACCGGGACTAAAGGGTCAACCGGGACTAAAGGGTCCTTTAGTCCGGGTTGGTGTTACCAACCGGGACTAAAGAGTCTACCTTTAGTCCCGGTTGGTGTTACCAACCGGGACTAAAGGTTGAGGACTTTTAGTCCCGGTTGGTGGCTCCAACCGGGAGTAAAGGTCCACCTTTAGTCCCGGTTGGTGTCTTCAACCGGGACTAAAGGTCCTCTGCCACTGTGTCGAGCGCAGTAGCCGTTGGGCAGGGACCTTTAGTCCCGGTTGGAGACACCAACCGGGGCTAAAGGTCTCTCTAGTCCCGGGCGCAAAAAATGCCGGGACTAGAGCCCATTTTTGCATCGGATGAAAGGTCTGTTCTCTACTGGTGTGATCTCCCTTCCTCTGCTCTGTCTTGTCCGGCGAGATGTCACGGATGTCGATGTCGTCTTTTTCGAGTTTCAGGAGGGGCCTATATATACGGGAGGTCAAAGTGTTAGTAATTATAACACGATCAAAGCATTAACAAAATTTGCAAAGCTTTATCCCTACCTTTTTAGATGAAAAAATTACAAACCCAGCGTATAACAGATGTACATATTTTTCATAGATTATAAACCGGGAAGAGGATTCTTGGACAACATTTAGCTACATGGCGCTCTTCACTTGAGTCAAACTCCCATCGCGTTGGCCATGCCTAAGTAAATATGATCTTTTTCTATATATAATAACCAGTTATAATATATTTGGCTTGTACTCTCTCCATTCTCAGTCCTACTCCTAAATCATTTCGATTTTTCTAAAGACTTATTTTTGCTAAGCACTTTGAAAAAGCCAAAACAACCCGCGATTTCGATCTGAGGCCTGAATTGGGATTTGGAGTTTTTTGTTAGCAAATTTAGGATTAAGTCTCCGTGCAACACCAATCCTGTTTCATTACGATTCGTAGTCGATTACTCGGTTAAAATGTGCGCGGAACGTCATTTCTCTTTCGCATTTTCAGGTTTCCTCCGGGCCTCCGGCCTGCGTGGTGTGGGAACGAAACGCTCGAGCCATGCAGACGTCAGATCCAGAAAACGTCCACGTGTCATCAACGGGCGGTGGTTTTGCATGGGATGGAAATTGGAGAAGCCTCCACACGGCCGCGACGACCTCCATGCTGCTGACCGCAGACGCTTTCCGTCTCGCCGACATGGATTTGTTTCCCTCACTTGCAGCATTCATGCTGCGTAGCCAACTATAAACGGAGCTCTATTAACTCGTTTCACTTGTTAATTTCACGGCAATTTCATGTAACCGTTGATATATTATGGGCTTGACCCATATAATATTCAATAAATCAAATAAACTCTATGGCTCGTAATGATGCGCGATATATGATTTAATACTATACGAGATTTTGACCGGACGTTGACTCGGTTTATATCGTTGCATATTGTCTATCTATATTAATAAGCTGAGAAAATGACGTAGGTGTGACACGCGCGCGCCGCAGCCGACCGGGCCGTGGGCCAACGGACGGACGGGAGTGGTTTTGCCACTCAATCCACATAATTACTAGAGTTACTCTCTTTTATGCTGGTGGCGGCTTCATGGCGGAAGTTTTGTCTGTTACTGCCATCTGCGTCTGCATGTCTCCTCGGTCCTCTGATCTCCTCCTGCGCCCCATCGCCTCCTGGCTCTTCTGTCAATCATCTCCTTCGCTTGCTGCACAACCACATATTCAGCTGCTCTCTGGTTCTCCCCGTCTCGGTTCCTGCGCGCACTGGAGCTGGGAGAGTAGGCCTCCGGAACGCCTGCCGTCTTCGAGTTCACCTGCTCGGGTGAAGGGCGACAATCATATTTTTGGGGAGGGTCGCTGGCGGCACGACTACTCGCTGTCATCTACTTCCTAGAGGATCGCTAGTGATCGACACGGCTTTTCATCTGCACTGCATCGAGCGGGTTGACTACATCAACAAGCACTACGTCTTCGAGTGCATCCGGCTCTGCCGCTGGGTATGTCTCTGGAACGAACCAATTAAGGTCTTGGCTGTCAATCCTTAGTTTGAGTATCATCTACATGTTCATCACATTTAAGACACACAAGCACATATATGATGTCACCAACATATTCATATTGCTTTATGTCTTTTTCTGGATTAAATTGCTACTAAAATTGCCTAATATTCTAGCAGTAACCTGCAACAAAATTCTTTTCAGAATAGGATTAGTAATTTTCTGACGGCACTGCTTGCACTCGGACGTCCGGACGGAAGCCCACACGTCCGGACGCCCGCAGCTGCAGTCCATTTCCGCGCCCCCGTTTCGCGCGTCCACGCCGGGGACACGTCGTCCGAACATCGTCCGTCCGCGCCTGCGTTTCGCCCACCCACGCAGGGGCTTGTGCCGCCTAGACGTCACCCGCGAGGGGACCACTCGCGCCCCGTCCCGTTTCCCACGCGCATTCCATGTTCAACACCCCTACTTTTGAAATATATAGATGCAATACTTGCAACATACAGAAAAAAGACAGATGAAACACTAAACATGCGTCTGAAACACTTGCAAAAACATCTGAAAACACTTGAAAACCAGCAAACATACGCAACATACAGATAAAACACTTACAAAATATGTGTAAAATATATGCAACATCCAGATAAACACACTTGCATCATACATGTACAACCATTACAACATATGCAACATCCCAATCTACCATTGCAACATATGTAACATCCCGATCTACTTTTGCAACATCCATATGAAACACTTACAACATACTTCTAAAAACATATGAAACACTTAAAACATACGCTTGTGACATGCGCTTTCAGCGCAACATCTCCATCTCCTTGCTACTTGGGAGAATAGAGGCTCGTCGACGTGGAGCTCGACACCGGCACAGAGCTAGATGCTGTGGAGTGGCATGGGGGGAGGGGAAGGGGATGCCAACGGGCGGCGGGTGCAATGCTCGGGCCAACGGCCCCAGTACTGGGGAAGGCGAGCAGCGAGAGGGCGGCGTGGTGAACTGCGGTGGAGAGGGTGGAAGGCGGGCGGCGGCGCTCTGGTACGGTGTAGAGGGGGGATGGTGGCCGTCCGGGCCAGTGCAGAACGTAATGGTAGCGCGGCCATGGTGGAGAATGCCGTGTCGGCGTGGAGAACTCGATGGCAAGTGGGAATGATGTTTCTGGATATTGCATATGAGTCAAGACGACAACCGGACAAATGGAGTTGAGACGAGCATGGATATTCTAGTTGGGCCGTTCGGGCCATCATGGCCCACGGTATATGGGCCTGAGGAGAGCATTTCTGATTTTCTAATAATGGTATATATACCGTTAACTCGAAAGGAGGACGACGACGTTCTTTTCAAACACAAGAATACAGTGGCCCGAGTCGCAACCTTTCGAGTTAAAAAAAGGAAGGCTGTGATGATCCAATTGTTTCTCAAAAAATTCTGATAGGCCCAATTTCAGTGCGAAGGCCCACAACCACATGATAGCGAAAGCTATCTTCCTCTTTTTTTTTTTAATTCATCCAATCCAATGGCCTCGTCGTGACTCGTGAGAGCGGGCGGAAGCGGAACGAACAAACTGTAGAATGTAGATAAGAGAGTATCAGACGATCGGATCGGATAGGTTCACTTCAATTCTTGCCCCTTCCCTTGGTCGTCGGCGGCGAAGCGTTCATGGCGGATGGCAGAGTATCCATGTCTTGCGGCCGCCGCGACTTCACCCGGCTGCGCACCTTGGGTCTCCTCCGCCGCGGTGAAGGATTCTCGTATGAATCTCGCAGGATTGGAACCTTTTGTTGACGACGATGCAGCAGAGCGATTGACCAAGGAGGCTGAGCGGATGCGGTATCTGCGTGAGAAGGCACGGCAGAAGGAACAGCGCGATCGGGAGCGGGTGGCGGAAGATCGCATCCGCGACTTCGATCCCAAGCAAGGGGGTGAATACTTCACCAGACTACAATTCGTCGATCTCACAAAATTCGATCTTGACGAGGAGTGTAAGTGGTTCAATTCTGATCAGATCAGTTCCCCTGCTCTGCTCTGGCCTGCCCTGCCCTGACTCTGCATCTTTCTTGTTTGCCATCTCTGAAATGATTGTTGCTTACACGATCAAATTAGTATTACACTCGTCTGTTTGTCTATTCGAATTTCGAACAGAGGTCATCACCATCCTAGTTTCTGTCTCTTAATTGACAAGTGCATGTGTACTTCACCGTTTGTATTATCTTGTATTGTTAGCATATATTAATCTCATTTGTAGAGAACATAGCTTGATTCTTCTTTTTTTCACACCACAGCACCCCGTGGACCGATGAGATTTGCTGACGCTGTCTACAAAAATAAGGACGACTATGAGCTGTGTGAGGGGATAAACATCTTCTCTGTCAGAATAACCACCTCGGATGTTGGCTTCCCAATCCATGTGTATGGCACTGTCATTGCCCGAGATAGTCTAGACAAAAAGTGTGTTTATATCTTCCACCGTGAGAGAGATCAATGCCAGCTCATCAACTCTGAGGTATGTCAATTACTGGGCACATAGGCTACACTGTATACAAAAATACCTGCTTGTACATTACATGTGAGTTAGCCAAAGATTACTGCAACATTTAAATTCTAGTGACCTGCAATTGTGTTTCTATTGATCAGCAATAATGTATTGTCATTTGGTCAATCGTGTGATGATATTCATCCTTATTTCATTCTGAATTCTATTCATGGTGCTAAAAGTTGGAAATTTAACAAGTTACTGATCAATAATCATCAGAATTTTACATGTTCAGAATGAAGCAGAAACTTGTCATGTGTAAGTTTTAGTGCTTGTTTGTAGATTATTTGTATCCAAGGTCCTTGGGCAACTGGTAGAGGGAACTAGACGATGCAGCATGCATCTATCCTTTGTGTTACGGGTTACGCGAGATGTTTACGCAATGATCCAATATTGTCCAACAGAAGCATATTGTTGTCTTTGGGCTTTTGGGGTGTGTTTTTGGATATGGTATGGGACAGAATAAATCCTGAGTTGAACATTTTTTTTTCTGGTAGCAGTTTCAATGTGTTGTATGGCTGTAATTTTTCAACTTTCACTCGCCTATAATTTAAACCTTTTTTTTGTAGGATGAATCTTTGATCTTGACAGGTCCAAAACGAGGACTCGCGTTGATAGGTGAGAATTATGTTGAGATTGATCTGACCAAGGGCAGGACAAAGAACTCAGTAAAGGAATCTTATCGATCAATGGCATAGAACGTCGACACTTGAAGGAATGTGAACTTGAAAGTGGTTCTCTTGCTACCAGGCTTAGTACTGTTGACGTGATGTATGGAGTTGTGAAAGATGCAGTGGAGTGTACTATTGCAATTGAAATTATACAAGCAGACTTTAGCGCGTGTTTAGTTCCAGGAATTTGGAATTTGGGGCTATTGTAGCATGTTCGTTTTTATTTGGCAATTAGTGTTCAAACATGGACTAATTAGGCTCAAAACGTTCGTCTCGCAATTTCCCACCAAACTGTGCAATTAGTTTTTTTTTCGTCTACATTTAATGGTCCATGCATAGGCCGCAAACATTCGATGTGACAGGTACTATATCACTTTTTGGGATTTTGGGTGGAACTAAACAAGGGCTTAATGGAAAAGTCACTGCCCATACCACCAGCATCCCAAATAGCCTTCTGCTTTATGATAGTCAAGTGGTTGGTGGCTTGACTGGAGATGGTATTGGAGTTATCAAGCTTGTGCGGTCCATCATATGCGTCTATGTGAAGGATATCCTAATGATTGTTGTCCAAACTAGTGATGTTATGTCTAAACATACCATTGAATTTACTCCCAAGATCAACGGTAGAGAAGAGGAAGATATAGTTGTTGGCATCACTAAGATGCGTGTGAAGGTTGCTTGATCAATAATGGACTTTTGAGTAATCTCTTGGGTTGATTATTGAGGCTTGCTGACAGGAATTATACGTTTTGGTGTAACTATGTTAGAGTAGTGATGTTGGGTTCATTATCATTGGACATTAAATAAGTAATAGTACGTGTAACTACATATCTAATGTGTTAGGCATGTTATGTTGAACTATTGTCTAATGTGTTACGTGAAAGGGAAGAGGAAGGGGTGGGGGCCTGTTTTGTTGAACTATCTAATGCTCAACAAGTACCAACTGAAGGGAAAACACAAAAATACTAATTTAAAGACAAACTTAAATGACATACGTGGTCAGGACGTACCTCAATAACAACAATGACATACGTGGTCTTCCCTCTAGAATCTCCTCACCCTCTTCTAGTCCGATCATTGCAGGCAATGTCTACTGCAAAGAGGAATTGAAGGATTGGTGAATGGGAAGTGGGGGTTGGCAGACGGTGAAGAGACGCAGCGGCCAGGGGTGGCGGCGGACAGGGAGGGGGATGTAGATGCAGTGGCCAGAGGTGGTGGCGGACGTGGTCAGGGTGTTGTGTGGAGGATGGGGGTGAGGACGGACAATGAGGGAGGCATAGTAACTAGAGGTGACAACATATGGAGACAGAGTCGTGCGGTGGATGGGGCAGCGGCGAATAGGAAGGGGAACACACTATGTGTGTGTGTGTGGACTGGGAGGCAGGTGAGGTGGATTAGGTGTAGGGTTTTTCTTTTCTTTTTCCCCCTTTTTTATTACACATTTGCTATTCAGAACAAAGGCGCCAACGTGAAACTATCATGTGTGTATCCTATTTTTCCTTCGTGTAGTATTTGAACCAATAGGATAAATTGTTTTTTTCTTACGCGTAACAATCGTACCGATAGGTCAATGCTCTTTTCCAAATATTGTCTCCACGTCCCAAATGGCATGGCATCTACGCAGTTATATCCGGATCCTATCGGACTCTGTTGTAACGCTGTCCGTAGTGCCATCACGGCTCACGTGTTACCATCAGCTAGTAGTACCTACCAGACGATTTGCTGTCAGTCTGCCACGTAGATAGAGGCTCAAAAGGGGCAACCCACCACGCCAACGCCGCTGAAAACAGTTGTGCACTCCAGCGATGCTGGCCTCAGCCTGCCTATCCGCTCTTCTCCTCCTCCCCCTCCACGGCCGCCACACACGGATTCCTCGTCCCCTCCGGCAACCGCGGCGGCACATGTCAGGTACGCACGCACATCCATCCACCTGCAATAACAGCACGAAGACACGAACCTGCAATAACAGCACGAAGACACGAATCTTGCACGAATTCTCAGCGCGCATCTCGCAGAATATGCTCTCCTCTCGATCCATTTGAAATAATGTGCAAGAAATTAAAAAGTCGTCGTCTTCAACCTTATAATCCATCCTTTTAAGCTAATAACGTGCAACCAGGTTCTTCTGCCGCGCACGTACCAGCAGGTGGTCTCGTCCTCCATGCCAGGCTGGGCGGTGGCGACGGTGACCGCGACCTCGGAGCAGCCGACGTGCCGCACCTCCCATCCTCCTCGCGGCGACACGCGTAAGCAGCTGCGCACAAAATTCCTCCTTCGCGCGCTACTGCTCATGTGCTGATGTGCAAGATAACCCGCGTGGTGGGCTGGTGGCCGTGCTGACCTGCTTCCTCTACTACCTCGTCGCGGTCGTGGCCGCCGGCCCCGCCAAAAGCCTGCTCGGCGCCGCCAGGGCCGCCTTCGCGCTCGCCGCCAACGCGCCGTGCCTCCGGTACATGAACCGCGCCGCGCGCGGGCGCAGCAGCTTCACCGGCACGCTCTGTGGCGACCTCCTCGTCGGGGCCATGGCGCACTCGTGGAGGTTCCTCGTGCAGGGCCTCACGTCGCTCTTGTTCCTCTGCGCCCGCGCCGACGAGTACGTCCGGCCGCCGCCCAGCCCGCTCGTTCTCCTCGCGCATGACAAGCCGGCGTCACATCCTCAGCAGGTACACATCTCAGTCGTCGGGTCCGACGGCATGCGCGTCTCGTGGGTGACCGACGACCGGAGCGCGCCGTCGGTGGTGGAGTACGGCACGTCTCCGGGGAAGTACACAGCATCATCAACGGGCGACCACACGACGTACCGCTACTTCTTCTACAAGTCCGGCGCGATCCACCACGTGACCATCGGCCCACTGCGCCCCAGCACGACCTACTACTACCGGTGCGGTCGGTCCGGCGACGAGTTCAGCCATCGGACGCCTCCGTCCACGCTGCCCATCGAGTTCGTCGTCGTCGGCGACCTCGGGCAGACGGGGTGGACGGCGTCGACGCTGTCGCACATCGGCAGCACCGACTACGACATGCTGCTCCTGCCAGGCGACCTGTCGTACGCGGACACGCAGCAGCCGCTGTGGGACTCGTGGGGCCGGCTCGTGCAGCCGCTGGCGAGCGCGCGGCCGTGGATGGTGACGGAGGGCAACCACGAGGCCGAGGCGCTGCCGCTCCCCGTGGCGGAGGAGCTCGTCAAGCCGTTCGTCGCCTACAATGCGCGGTGGCGGATGCCGTACGACCACAGCGGGTCGACGTCCAACCTCTACTACTCGTTCGACGCGGCGGGCGGCGCGGCGCACGTCGTCATGCTGGGCTCGTACGCGGCGTTCGGGGAAGGGTCGGAGCAGCACCGGTGGCTGGAAAGGGACCTGGCGCGCGTCGACCGCCGGCGCACGCCGTGGCTGCTGGTGCTGCTGCACGCGCCGTGGTACAACACGAACCAGGCACTGTGTATGTTCTAGCTAGTTGTTTCTGTTTCTGCTTTAGCCCATTATTACTGAACACATGTCCATTTTTTTTTTGCTGATGAGTGATGATCAGACGAGGATTTACGACAACGAGGCCGACAGCCGGGGCCCGATGTACATCACCATTGGCGACGGAGGCAACAGGGAAGGCCTTGCTCTCAAGTATGCATGTCACTGGCTGGCACCGTATATGCATAGAGTCAATTAGAATCTGATGATGCTGACTCAGTTCATGTGTGTGATTGTCGATGTGGTTCTGAAGGTTCATCGAGGACCACAAGTCGGCGCACCTGTCGGAGTTTCGGGAGGCGAGCTTCGGGCACGGCCGGCTGAGGATCATCGACGAGACGAGCGCCGTGTGGACGTGGCACCGCAACGACGACGCGTTCGCCACCGTCCGCGACGAGGTCTGGCTGGAGAGCTTGGCCGCCGCTGCAAAACCAGGCCTGGCACCTTCGGCACCACCCACCGGTCGTGACATTGATGAGCTCTAGAATGCTACAGGAATACAGGATACGATTGCAGAAACGGGTACGAGGGTGTCCATAGAATTTGTTGGTTATCACTTCCTCATGTCAGGAATATAATTTCACCAAGATTCATTCCAAGTCAAGCCTGTTTATCGTTGACTATATCAATATCTAAATTTTACTGTACATAGATTGACAAGGTAAGGTTAGTATTACTGGATTTATTATTATGGAAAATATTTTTGTAGTATAATGCAATCTTGGCAATTAAGATGATATTCTTATGTGCACGTACGTATATTATATTAGTTAAAGCATCATATTAAAAGTGAAGTCAAAATTTCCAGTCAGGGGGAAGCAGGCATTGGAGTAGTATTTTTTAACATGCACGATTATTTATATCGATTTGTTACTTACAAACATTCCCATAATGGACTTTCAATAAAAGAGGAAAGATATATTTTGGCATATAGTGGCCTTTTTTATCGTTAAATGTCTTTGTCCCTCCGCATAAGGTTAAAGTGGCGCGAGTAATAATCTTGAAGATGCCAAGAGTTTTTAATATCCATGCGGATACAGATAATGCAAATCCGATTGTGTGCAGAGGCGGAGTAGGATATGGAATCGGTAAAAATCCGATGAATATAGATTTTCTGTAAATTTTGAATGAGTTATTCGGTTTTTAAAACAAGGTATTCGATAATTTCTTTCCCTATACTAAAAACAAAAATAACTTATGATAAAGAAAAGTTTGTTAGTTGAGAATTTTTATTTTGTGATGTGGTTGTTTTATTTATTAATTTTTTAATTGAGAACTTGTTGGCTAATAACTTACCATTTGTGTGTGTGCATAACCAGATAAGTGTTAATTGTTTCGGTGTGAGAGCGACAAAATGGACTAGAATGCAAGATTTTTGTGTACTAGTTGTTGTTGCCTTTTTACTAAATTAATTCATGACAAGCATATACATTCTCTACGTATGCACATATTACTCGATTACTTAAATCCGTCTCCTATCTGATTCGGCTCCATCTCCTTACTTATGGGGACAGGGGATCCGATCTTCCGTTAGGTTCAAGATAACTATCGATTTGGTGGAGAGCGACACACCGATCCGGCTTCAGATCACAGAAACCTGAACCCTGCAATCTTAGCACCACGTCTCCTCTGGTTGTCAACCATGTCACAATCCGGTTGACCTCGCCAAGAAGGCTAATCCCTGCTGCGAATCGAACAACACAAGCAAGAACAAGATAAAACGCAACTCAATTGAAGTGACAATTGCAGATGAATGATTAAGCACTCGAAGTTGGGGTCTTGCAAACCGATAGCGGCGATTGTTCAATGACAGATTGATCTAAAGCAAAACCCAAAACCTAACGTAGGCGGCGGCTACTGATTATATAACCTCAGGGGCCTCCAAGGACCTCTATTTGCATCCCTAAGAAGTCCGACATGTTACAAGGCCCAAACGGCCCAAAAGACGGCGACGCCGCGTCCTGACAGATTCTGGACGTCAACTTGTTTTGATGATTTCCGTTGATTCTGAAGGAATTTTGACGTGGGACCACTTTCATTGGTTAACGTATCAAAATAGCTTTCCATCCATATGTGGATCGTAAAAAACGGAGTCCGTTTGTGATCTAGGCGTCCGTTTTACTACAGACTGCTTCTGGAGCTCGAGATGGACTCGAACTTGACTTGGATTGAGCCTCCAACTTGGCTTGGACGCCCTTACTTGCCTCCTAAGGTGGTGGCCAAGGGGGAGGACGCCCAAGGGCTTCCTTTATGTGTTCTCCATCTCCTTGGGGCGTGCTCCAACTTGGGCCAGGGTCCCAAGGGTGAAAAATAAACCCATGATGACGATGTAGCTCCCGACAGAAATAACGACGGCATGTCTTGATGATTTGGTGGCCTTGCCGACATGATATTGAGATGGGACCAGATCTATTTGAAATCTTATCAAACAAGCTTTCCATCAAGTGCTCATTGACCGCAATCGCACTCCGTATGGAGGAGTTATGACCTTCCCAATGAAGCATTGTCGGGCCACCGATGAACTGAAAGTTCAACTTTGATGAACTTGCACTTTGAGACACATTTGTACCTACAAGCAAATAATGACATGTACATGTGGAACTAAGTGAATTGTACCAAAAAATCATTATGCAAATATAGGAATGAGCTCACCTTATAATCAATGGTCATATTCGAAGGTGTCATGTCCTCATCACTTACCATTTTCGACATTCGAAAAAATCTACATTCGCATCTGCATCCGCATCCTCATCCATGTAGTGCTCTATGTTTGGGTTTGGCAAATCTTCCTTTGTGCATAGACTCCTACATCTTCTTAGCATTATCCCTACCTCCATGATCAACAACATATTCACATCAACAACACTAGACCCTAAAAACACACAACATTCCATACTCGTATAAACTCTGGAGGATAGCTGAATGACACATATTAAGCACATAATGTCTTATATCATTGATCAACTAGCATGGGTAGCTTTCTCAAAATCAGATTGCACTTACAAGTTACATATCTCAGATTATGTATCACACACTCTACAAACAACACAATTCAAAAATATGAAGAACATCTCAGGTTTTAGAACAAACATGCATGATCTATCTCCCAATCATCTTCTCTTAATCAAGTACCTAATCAATAATCTATTGTTACTTAATAACTGCAGAAATTATGAACTCTAGGTGGCAATCCAAATCTACCAAAATTTGTGGATGTCAACTACGATCAATCCCTGAATAAGTATCATTTGAACTAAAAATCTACACAGTGGCATCACAGTCATCACTCACCAATTAAGAACATAGTTTCAACAGTCGTAACAAGCTAAAACCAAAGACTAATCACTGAATTTGACATAGTTCTCCGAAAAATCAATCTCACCTCTCCCAATTCTAGGCAGATTTGTAATACAGTACCTTTTCCAGAACTTAAAATATGCTCATTGGACAGCGCTAGACTAGAAGGATCAAACCCTTAGACCTTGTCGAACCTAACTCTTTTCCCATACCCTTTCCGGATAAACCCAATTTGAGTAGCTTTATTGACCAAGAGGACTCATTTTGAAAAAGGACAATTCCAATTTTTAACAACAAAACAAATCCTGGATATACATTTATAACCATAATCTTCTTCCACAACACATTATGATCAAATTGATACATAAAAAAACTGGATGCTAATTTCTCGATGCAAAATATACATAATTCCTAATATATACCAAACCATAAATAAGATAATTACATGTCAGTATACAAATTTACGTGTGTTATTTGGATTAGAAAGGAGAGATGTGCGCCAAGCTTGGCAATGAGTTGCAAAAAAGTGATTCAAATTTGCAAACAAAAAGGAGAAGAGAATGAGAGCTAATCTCCAAGAGTTTCCGAAAACCACTCCGAATACCGATTTTTTGGCAAGATTGAACAGACCCTCTCTCCAACAACTCGTTATTTTAACTCTCAATCTTTCCACCCTTGGGAAAGTTGATCCAATCGCACAGAAAGATACGTGCATGTATCCAATCGGCCAATCTGGAGGTGGAAGGACTCTAGGGATGAATAAGGAGAAAGGATAAGGTTCTCAACGGAAATACACAAGAGAGAAAGAAAGTATAAAAGTGGCTGGAGTAATTTAGAAACAGTCTAGAATTGCTAATATAATTTTTTTTTCATCTTCTAGGAGAGAGATCAGAAATGTTGAAGAAAGCCAACAAATATGCTCCTAATTTTTTAAGGACATGGAAAACTCATCGAGTTTTGGAAATATTGGAGAAGACACTGTTTGGAACACAAGAATTTTCCATGTTCCTATGTTTTCATGTTAAATTGAACCGATTGCGGTAAAATTCTTACACGATTCCCGTTGAATTCATGAATTTAAAGAGACCCTAAATAAAATAGCAAATCGCAAAGCCTAGAATCTCCCCTTGCCATCTTCGGCCTTGTCTCAGTGAAGAGAGGAGTTATGGCCCTCTTTGGCAGTGCCAGGGTTTGGGCTTGTCAAAAAACAATAAGGCCAACAAAAGCTGCATTTTTGTGACTTCAAATTTATCTTTTTCTTGTGCTTGGTTTTGGTTTTAGAAAATTGATTAAACTATTGTAGAAGTCCTAATAAAAACTCTGCCTAAGAGGGCCCAAATGAAAGATTCAGTGGCGATAGAAACAAAAACTTGGCGGTGCTCGTGTTCGGTGCAATCCTCATGGGCAAAAAAGAAATGGCAGGTAAGACCCATAAATACTATATTAGCAAATAAAAAACTAAAAAATTGCAGAAGAGAATCAACTGATTGGAGCAAATCTGACCTAACGTACGTACACAGAATCAGAGTGCTCGAGCAGCAAGTAGTTCGACACCTTTTTCCCTGTTGGAAGGAGAACGAAGAAGGGAACAGAGAGACATACAATGAAGTAGAGAAGAGAGAGAGAGAAGATCGCAAGAATGCCGTCGCCGTCTCCGTCGCCGGTGCGCGTGGTGTCGAGGCACATCGTGAAGCCGCCGCCACGGCAACGCGAGCGCATCCCGCTCACGTTGTGCTTTCGGCCAAGTACATCCAGAAGGGCCTCCTCTTCGCACAGCCACCGGTTCCGACCGCCGAGCTCGTTGACCACCTCGAAGCCACCCTCGCCGACGCGCTTGCCGCCTACTACCCCGTGGCAGGGCGCTTCGTCACGGAGCAGCACCGCGATGATCACGGAGACATCGTCGGCAGCACGGTGTTCATCGACTGCGGTGGCCAGGGCGTCGAGATCCACCACGCCGTCGCCGACGGCGTCGCCGTAGGCGACGTGATACTGTTAGTATTGATCTCCCACCAGTTAGGCCCAACGGCCTAACTGGGCCTTGTCCTCGCGCCCTGATCGGGGGCGCCCAACCCTACATGGTTGGTGGGCCCCCGTCGCACAGCGCTATAAAGGAAGGTGGGGGCCGGGGCTCGCGATACGAGGTTCACCGCGCCGCCAGTCACCCCACCGACATCCTAAACCCTAG